GCGGCAGAAGATGGAGATGCACAATCAGCAGAACACAGAGCACTCCGGTGTGGGTTATACAAAGCTGCTGGGCATTGCAGGAGGAGAAACTGGGAAGAGGCAGGGTGTCTGTATTGACTGTGGTGAGAAGAAAGAGAGAGGGCAGCAAAGGCTTATCAGGAGACAAAAGAAAACATGGAGCAAGGACAAGAAAAATCATTTTGATGGCCTGAAAATATACCTGCGAGGAAGAACGCAGATTCCAAGCTTTCAGTATATCACTACAAAGAACTAAAATTTATGAAAACTGTATGAAAATATAACTGCTCTTTAAGCTACGTGTATTGTTTTATCTTCTCCCTCAGAGGAGTGGAAATTCCACCGTAAAAATCCATCACCAAGGGAACATTACCTCCTCCATGAAAATATATCTTTGTCTCAGTGAATCTCATTTTGAGCCATGATATTTAATGTGAGAACTGGCCCTCGTTTTGCAGAGTGAAATCACACTCAATCAAATATTTGCCATATTTCAGTAAATAACACTTTGAGACACCTTGTATTCTGGGTGTGCTTACGGTAACATTTTCACATTTTGTTATGTAACTCCAGCACCCAGTTTTTTCATCCAAAAACTCCTCTGACAACTGCTGAAATCTTCAGGCAGAGAAGAAAGCAAATTTAACCTCCAAATGGACAGAGCTGCTAGGCCCAAGGAAACATGACTTTTCACAAACAGATACCTGCCTTGTTGCCAGACATCCACATTGCCAACAGCAGGAGTGGCAGTGAGAACACAAACACCACCAGCAGAAGAGCAGCAGAACACCAGCAGTGCGGCCCAAGTCCCTTCTTCCCAAGCACGAGGCACTGCTGCCTTACAGATCTTTCTGCTCTTGCAGGCCAGCTTTCGGCAGCTCTTGCAGATGAAGGAGTTCAAATTCCAAGGAAAGGAGTCCAAGACCAGAGCTGCCACAGAAAGGTTTGCTCTTTCAAGCGATTTACTCTATTAGTTTTGAGTATTTCTCTGCTACTCTGATCTCTTATACAGAAGCAGGTATTTCTATATAAAATTACACTTACTGCTCTGTTAGGCTCAGTACAGGTTCTATATATAAAACCTTGAATTTGAAAATGTAAGAAACAATCTCAGGGAGGAATAGCAGTTTTGTCCTCAGCAGGATCATTCCTCACACATGGTAGACATTACTAACAATCTAGATCAAATTTTCAAGGCTGTTTTAGGAGCGCGTTATTATTCTTCAACACACATTTGGTGGAGCACCTTCAAAGACGTGTCATAAGTATGGAAAGTCTGTTCTGCTCTGACAGCATTGCTTACTTCATCCAGTTTGCAAGCAAAAACTATACAGATAGATCTTGAAAGAGTTAGCTCTTGCCTTGCCCAAAAGCTCTGTCAAGGTGGCTTCATGGTTTGACACTTAGAAGAAATCGCCTCTTAAACACAGAAAGCCATCAGTCGTAAACATTAGGAACGGCCTTTCTTAGCATGAACTTAATCTGTCAGATCTCTCTACCAATTTCTGTACATTCTGCAAGTAAAAAAGTAAATAGCTTACTTATTAGCTTTGCAATTTCATATAGTCCATTAAGTGACTTAATTTTGCTATCAATAGCACATAATGCGATGAGCAAAACTGTTAGTCTGCCTTAGGAAAAATAGTGATGTGGTTACATCAGGGGCGTCTCTGAGCTGACAAGGCTTTCCCCTGGGGATATTCAGGAGAGTTAGAAAGCAGAAGAGGAAAAAAGCATGGAGAGAAGGGAGAGGAATGGCAGAGAACACAGGTGTAGATGTTTAATCTCCTGGCCTGTCAAGACAGACAAAAGAATAATTACAATTACAACCATCTTCTCTCGAACATTCCTCTGTCATGGAGAAAAAAAAAGAACAGTCACACTTGAGCCCAACCAATCTAAAGCAACTGTTGAGTTTTAGACCACTTGTACCTTTTTAGCTCTGCTGTGGATTTTCTTTCATGACCACATTCTCATTTCTGCTGCATTTGATGCAGACTTGCTGCACCAACTTTGACAAGTTACTGTAGGTACACAGTGCTAAAAGCTGAGCCTGATGGACCTTTAATTTTGAAGGAATTTATCCCGAATTGGATTCTAATTTTAAAATGGCTCAAATCTTTTAAAGACACTAATTCAAACTGTAATACATATTTGCTGAGAAACTGTGCTTAGGCGATATCCAAAAATGTTCGAAGCCATAGAATCACAGAAAAGTTCATATATTATAGCACTTTCTTTTCTTAGATGTCTCCACAAATCAGACAATGCCTAACTTGGAAGTGGGACAGCCTGCTTTGAAAAATCAATATAACCTGATAAAAGCCTAAAGCTAAAAAACCACTAACGCTCATTTCAGGGTATTTCATTGAATATCAAACTATTACTCTCAGCACTACCTAACTGAAATTCATCCTTGAGGAGCCTGAAGCAGCAACAGTTCGGTTTCTACTTGCAAAGAAGGCTCTTTGTCCTTTGCACTGAGGATGACTGATCTCTGATTCAATTTCACTTCCCAGTCAATGCGTTTGGTTTCTTAACATTTCATAAGTGTCCTGCCCAGAAACGTTTACGAGTGAAACCTGATCTACAGTAGAACAAAGGAGATCCAAAACACTGTCAAGTCGCAGCCAGAGTCCTTGAGGTCGACCTTTGGCTGAGGGCAGTTCCCAGGACCGTGCCTCTTATCATGCCATCGGGGCACTTACAGAAAACAACAAGCAGCGTTGTTATCGCTTCGACCTGACAGCACCTTACACATGTGAGTTATAAACTTCCATTATCATTCTTCAAAATACATTACATACTGTAAGCACTCTCAATTTCCCATCTGCCATCTTCCACAATCTTCCAGCCTGTTAATCGTTAGCAAAATTGCCAAGTTTTCCAAAAGGTAATTTCCCTATAGGTCTGACAAGCATTTAATCTCCATGTCACAAGCATTAATTAATTTCATATAAAAAATATAGGTGAAAAGATTATTTTAACTTCAGAATTCAATTAAAATAACTCATTATATTAATAGAGTTTGGTATATCTGTGTTACATATGCATATTTTCATTTCCTGCATACGAGAAACTTCATCGGTATTAACAGAGTTCCTCAAGTCTCCTGGAATTCAAGAAGCTTTGAATTTCTATAGATCAAGACCAAAACAGAGAAGAGGGTTGAGTTCACAACACATACCATTATTTGTGGAAAGTATTTTAAAGGCAAACCACGTTCTCAAGAAGTACAGCTAAAGAGCTTACATAAAATAATACAGTCAAAAATATGCTTACAACAACCTACTGAAAAACCTTTCAGTACTTTAAAGCAGCTGTGACTTGGTAAAATCTCATTATCTCTCACATGCCCATTGGAATTCTCCAGGAATATTTACTGTTATTTCTAACTGGTGCTGGAAGCACTGCGCCAGCCTTGGAACAGCACCATGAGGTAGCTGAGGGAGTACCATATATGACCTCTGTGAATATCCCAGAGCTATACATTCAGTTTTAGCAGCATGCCACAGTAACACCAGGCAACTAATGCATTAAGTTGGGCATGCGAAATACCAAACATACATTAAAAAATAATAACAATTAAAAAAAAGCTATAATCTCAGTGAAATTTCATTTAAAAGATCTGCAGGTTACTCAGAGAATCTCAAAATGCTTCCTGCCCACAGTCGTGTCCCAAACATCTGAACTCAGACACTGCAACACAGGGCACATCTAAGTTTGTATAACATGGGCTTATACATAGGCATACAGGTGTGTAAAATACATTACAAACACATTACAACGTGTGAGTTTCTCACACTGAGCAGATTAGGGCACAGCTCACTTTGCCAGGACTCTACAATTGACTGACAACTGTACCTCAACTTAAAGTCAATTCCTTATGAGTTCTTACCATCCTTGGAGAAAGATTAGAATTGAAATGATAAAGAAAAAATACTCTTTTCCCATTGTCAAGGAAGATCAACCCAGGATTTATTTGGTTATTTTCTAAATTGGCTGAATGAATACAGAACACCTAAACACCACACAGGGCAAGCAGCATTCAAAAATCTATTAGAATTCCTCCTATAAAAAGGTGAGCTGCAACTCTTCCTACCTGATGCTCAGTTTCGCCAAAAGCCAAACAAACGGAGCTGAAATACTCAAAACTCACTCAGTAAGCACAACTTTCCAGCACTCTCCACAAGCCTGGGAGAAATTAAGCTCCCTTGAACCTTAACAGAGCTCAGCTTTGCAGTCTTCAACATCCACACAAATGCAGCTGAGGGACAAGAGGCTGCCATGTTGGGGTCAGCCGCCATGTTGGGGTCAGCTGCCATGTTGGGGGCTTGCTGCCCCCTCAGTCCCCATGCTGGCAGCTGGGCCACAAGACTGAGATGGAGGAGGGAGAAGCAGCTCGCCTCCATGCTACCAGCCAGGAAAGAGGGACACGGCAAAGAAGCCCACAGTTTGGTTTACCAGTTGATTAACCATGAATAGAAGGGAACCTGGCTCGGTGAGAAAGCAGCTGGGAGCACATGGCCCCTCACCACAAGGCAGCTCTGCCACCACACTGTGCTGAGCGCCCGCACCCTGAAGGAGCCACGAACTCCTCACTTTTTAGCGCTTTGAAATTTTACTTTCTTTCCTCAAGCGCTTCTACACCTCATTACCGCTCCCACTACTCACAGAGAAGCCAAAACTTCGAGCGCGAAGCGAGCCGCCCACAACCTCACGGCTGCCCTTGGGGCACACGGGTACCGCGCCACGGCTCCCCTTAGCCCGCGGCACTGCCCCTCCCGCGGCACGGCTATGGCGCCGCCTGCTGCTCCCCCTAGCGGCCGCGCCCCGCCCCGCCCCTCCCGCCGAGGCCCCGCCCCCCGCTGACGTGCGGCCCCGCCCCCGCGGCTGCCCGCTGCCGCCGCGACTTGAGGGCGAGCTCGGCGGCTGCCCCGCGCTTCCGTGCGCTCCTCTCTTCGTGGCTCCGCACCTGGCCGCGCGGCTCCCGGCCCGCCGGTGGGATTTACGGCGGCCGCCTCGCCGCAGCCGACGTCCAACCCGCGCACCGCAGGTAAGTGCTGCTCCGCTCTGCCTCCGCGGGAGTCGCGCGGGTCGGCCGCGGGGTGAGGGAGAAGAAGGAGGACCAGGAGGGGGCACGGCTCGGAGCCGCCGGCGGGGAGCAGAGCCGCGCGGCCCCCGCGCTCCGTCCCTACTTGCCGTCAACTTTTGCGCGGCTCCCCGAGCTCCCAGCCCGCCTCCCGCAGCCGGCGCTGGGCTCCGCGCTCCGCTCTGGCGCTGCCTTCTGCCCTCGGGCTTTTGTTCCCCTGCCCGCCCGGCCCGGGATCCCGGCGTCGTGCGGGGAGTCGGGAGAGAGGCAGAAAACGAGTAGACTTAAAGCGGCGATTCCTTTTCTGAACCCGATTTCTTCGCCTAAAACGCGCTGCCCGAAAAGACAGAAGCATCGCTTGCGCTCCCCAGCCTGCCGCCCGGGGACATGGCGTCTTAATGAACATTTCTTTGAATTAGCCAAATAAATGCGTTTGTCGAGCCGAGCGTGCGATGGCAGGCAGGAATGATGTGCTGCGAAACGCACAGATGCGGCCGAACACGGGGACAGTTGTGAGCGCTGCCAGCCCTTTCCCTCCACCCGAAAATCCCCTCCGGTCTCTCGTTCCCCCCAGCCCCGTGAGCCTGCCCGGCTTCTGCTCGGTGTGCGAATGCTCCATAAGGAAAAGGTACGCCGAGCTTCGTCTGAAGCCTGTTTGTTACTTTAAGAGCTGCCGAGGCCGTGCTGATCGCCCTCTGGCAGCTTTTCCCTTTTCTCCAGCCACGTTTCACCACTTCCCAAAGCGGTATATGTATTTTCCCTGCTCCTGGCATACGGCAGAAGCAGTGCCCGGCTTTGGTGTGCATTCGAATATCGATTCTCTTTTTTTTTTTTTTTTTTTTTTTTTGGTGCATTCATACAGTTTGATTTTAACTGGGGAAGGAGCGGATGGATGAATACCACGGTTAATACAACCATCACGGGAAATAAGATTCTGTAAAGTCCCCGAAAGAATGATTTATTTTATTTTCTTTTAATTCCCCCGCTGGAGGCCGCCTCTGTTTTTCTCAACAGGAGACTTTGTTGTAATTAAAGCAGGGAGAACTGGACAGCAGCAAAGCCCTCTGCCTGGTGGCTCTCAGCAGCGCCGTTTTGCAGCGTGCACCACCCCCCAGCGGGCAAAAAACTCCGTAGTAAAGTCGCAGCCAAGCTTTCATCTTTGGAAATGAAACGCGAACGTTTCAGGGCGAGAATCAAATAAAGGTGCATTGGTGGGGCTTTGCTTTTTCGTTTTCCCTTTGTAAGCGGTAGCACAGAGTGGAAAGGTAGCGCGAAAGGCACCGGTGAGCCGTCCGAGGCATTGCTGGAGTTTGCAAACTTTGCGCTGCTGTTTTTCCGAGTGCCTTCAGTGGGTGGATGGCCATCTTTGTCTCCTTCCAGCAGGAAGCCTGCCTGCTAATGGCCGGGGAGCTCTCGAGGTTTGCTTTAATCACCTCGAGGCATGAGGCGGCTCAGGAGAATTAATAGGCGACTGCTTACGTGTATTTTTAATAAGAGGCCCCGGCTCGCTCGGTGCAGGCTGGCCGTGCCCACAGTGCACTGCACAGAGCTCACTGCATGCACTGAAGCAGCCTGGCAGCCCCACAGCTTGTCAAGTTTTCAGATCAGAGCAGTAAATCTGGTCATCGGTAGGCGAGCAGACAAAAGAGGAAAGAAACAAATCTGTACGGCAGCTGTATGCGGTATTTCAGTAACGGTTTGGATACGCTTAACGTTTTGCGCCAGGGACTCTGTGCAGGGTATAATTCCACCTAAATTTGTCAAGAGGGAAAACCAGTGATTTCCCCATGGAAGCAGAGCAGCGTTTGTTGCCTGTTCTCTCATTCTAAGCGCAAGCAAATGCCTCACCCCCACAGCAGCTCCCAGAGAGAGCCCAGCAGCCATCCCTGGCCCAGCTGGGCGAGCACTGCGATGCAGAGCACTGATGCAGAGCACTGTGCTCCCCCTCCCTGGCCGTGGGAGCAGGCAGGCCCTGCAGGGCACAGCACTGCGCAGCAGCACGGTGCTCTTCGAGCCAACGTCCTCAAAGCCAGGAAGGGTTTTAAAAGTGAACTTCAGAGAGCAACCACTGAACCGCTCGTAGTCAGTCTCCCTCCTCTGCAGCAGATGCTGCCCTGGCTCACCTTTGGCATGAAGTTCAGCTTCCACTCGGAACCCATTTCAGAGTCAGATTCAATCCCATTAGAGGGAAGAGCACATTAAATTTTTCATTTTTAAGGCACGTGAGAACTAGAAGGACAAAGGCAATATTCTATTCAGCTACCACACAAGATGGAGGGGGAGGGATAAGCAAAAAAATAAATAAAACCTTCTTGGACAAGAGGAAAAAAATAAAGCATGTTTCACCAAAGCACAGAGACCTGGGGAGCTTGCTCTCACTTTAATGAAAACCTCTGCATTCTTTAGCCCTGGAAAAGACAGGCAGAGGACCTTGTGCTTGCCTCACACCGAACAAAGGAGTGGGGCACCTTCCTGAAATATGATGATCGTGGAAATTTCAGCTCCTAGACAGGGTGCTTAGAAAGCATTTTGCTGTCACTATCAACTAAGTCTTAGTAATACACTTAAAAAAAACCAAAGCATGTGCATTGTTTTAAGGACAGATTAGCACCGTGGAACTTGTGTTGAAATCTTGGTGAAACTATCTGAGAGGAGCTGTGACCTCTGAGAACTGACCTGGCAGCACGTGCAGTGGATGGGTCCAGTGGTATTTCAAGTGCATTTTATGTTTCTGATAATAACAAATGCAGAGGTAATTCTGCAGTCTTAGTACACAGGTTAAGCAAAATCATTAGGCTTGTCAATATGCGTATCCTAATAACTTGAAGTTACTCTTGTCCCTTACTACCTAAAAATACGGGGTGAAAGTTGTTCCTGTGCCCTGTTGTGTGGGGGTTAGCAGCCAGCTCCTGGTTATGCTGGGGCAGATGGGGATTAAAGTAAGCACTGTGGGACCTGAAGTGCCAGGTCTGGGTGTTAGTCAGGTTTTATCACATCTTGGAAAGAACAAATCTATTTGGCACCGTTTTTAGAAAAACTTACAGCTTTTCTTTTGCTTTTTTTTTCCCTTAAGGCAGGGCAGCTGTACACCACGTGTTACAATAAATACTCTGTGCTTTGGTATTTTCTCTTACGCAGTGCAAATTGCTTTTGCCATTTCAAAATGAGCTGTAGCCCGGCGATAAGTCCGGGTGCAGGTCTGGGCATCCCCGCTGTCTGTAACACGGCTGCCTACACAATGTCCCAGGAAAAGTAATTTAACCACACAGTTCAGCAAAGTTCATGAAAATATATTCAGCTCCCAATGAAGATAAGCACAAAAGCTGCCGTTCGGCTGTCCCCTCTTTACTTTTGTTACCAAAAAGTCATTTAAAAATGAATTTCAGAATGCACTCTCTGAAATCCATCTTTTTTTCCTGCTCTGCTCGAAATTAATGGCTCCTTTCAGAGCCATGTGTCCATGAAGCCTCCCATGCTGGTGCTGCGGGGACCTGCACACCCAGCGGGTCCCCTCTGCTTTCATCCCAGGCCGGGATGGGAAGAGGAGGGCTGGAGCAGGGCAGCAGGATTCCCTTCTGTGCAGACAGATCGCTGGAGCCTTTGATATGCAAAAACATTGTTTTCAGCTGTGGCTCCAGATATAAAAGGGAAGTGCAAGATATCAAACAATCAGAACCTGGAGAAAACTATTCTGCCCTCAGAAAAGGGAGTGGGGGGCACGGGCTTAATCCACATTTTTGAAACAGTATCATCTTCTCCAAAGAGACCTGCTTTTATTTTCCTCCCTTGTTTTTATGTAATTTCGAGAGAAGGGATAAAAAAAATTCCAAGAACTTAATGAGCTTTAGTGCTTTCATTTTAATCCCACACATTACCGCTATTATAATGGCAGCAATAAGCAAAGGGCTGACAATCAGACGGGGCAGAGAGGAAGCTGTTTATATGCTAGAAAGGTAAAGCCACTGCACTTAACTTTCTCGTGTCTGTATGCACACTAGAGATAGTTTTGATCAATAGCAACGTGCCTTTTTCATTTTTATTTTTTTTACAGCCTGCTTAACAGCTCTAAAAGTTCTGAGGAACGATTTATGAGATTATTTTTTTTTTCAGCTTCTTAAAAGTGACTCAAAGCCTTCAAAGGCCTACTTAACAACAAATTTATACTCTTACTTCACCACACAACTCCCAGAAAATGTCCTCTGTCACACCTTCGCATTACTTCCTATGAGACACATTATTTTTATGTAGATCTTAAGCAACTGTTTCATTTCCAAGTTTTGGGAATAGATCCTGGACTTAAGTTTCCACAAACACTTGAATGATACAGACCAAGGAAATTGGATGCTGCTTAATCTCAAAGAATGTGGAGCTTTTTTTGTTCCATCTTCTAATACTGACTGCATATATTAACCAATCCCTAAAAAAATATGCATTCCTTTATAACCCACACAGAACCTTAGTTTTACTAAAAAGTAAAGAGTATCCTTAGATGCTTAATTCTGCCAATCTTACAGAACGTCTCTCCTTTCAGTTTACAATTTTCATTGCACAACTGCTGAAGCAAGGTGAAAAACAAGCAGAAAACCAACCCTCAGATAAGCATTACAGCAGCTTCAGGGGAGCAGAGGCTTTACTGTTCCCTCACGGAACGCTTGCACCATCACAAGAATGGGTTTGGTTTTGCTATTTTTTTTCCTCTCAAATGCTCATCTTTATGCTGCTGAAGAGGAAAAACATAATTTTATGTATGAAAATAATTGTTTTATCAGTGCAAATCTGTTGCTACAGGAGTAGAAAGTACTGCACGAAGACTTCATGATGCCTGCTTCCAATTACAAAAGAGTCTTAAAGCAGAAACTGCTTTTGTTCAGCTCTGTTATTTTATGATGGCCCAGAAGCAGCTCCAGCTATGCCCACATGAAGGGAGTTACACAAGCCTTATTCAGCCCACTGTTTCTTCAGGGCTTTTCAGTGCTGAGGACCATGCTCAGTACCGAGGATTTGATTTCAGACTTAACCACTGGTATTTCAGACAGATACTGCCTACATGCTCTCAGGGAACAGAGACTCGGTATCTCACTGGATACTTTCTGTCCTTAAAAACAGCCAAATGGTTCCTCAAGTAATAAGAAAAGCCGAGGTTACTTTTATTTGTGAAGTGAGAAAAATCAAATTAACAAAATGTCAATCTAAATAGTGATTCCACTGAGCAAAGTGACAAATACAATAGCTCACGAATTCAGACAGCTTGGCATACTGAGCACATTTTATGGAGAAAACCCACATGCCTCCATTTTCAAGAAGCTGATACAGACGACTACTAGCTAGCCCACAACGCAGAAACAGCAGGATGCACATGTGAAACATTAATTCTCTATTTCAGTGAAAACTTCTCCTCTTTCATCCAACAAGTACTGAATGGTAATTAACTCATTTTAAATTTAATACCAAAGAGAGGTTCATGATCTACTTCTGTTTGCCTGAAACAAAAAGCAAGCAACCACGTTAACTCCTCCCATGGCAGGACTGCCATTTGTCCTCCAGCGGGAAAACATCATTTGCAAAGACTTTGGTACTGTCTGTTAGTGCACAATGACTTCATTTGCTGCTGGAAGGAGGGAAAAGATTTGTTCCAGCAAAATGGCAACCACGTGAGACTAAACAGCAGAAGCTGTTAATAAACATGCCTGCATTTTGCTGAAATACTGATATATTGGGATAAAATGATGTGCTGATTTTGTACAGTAAGCACAGCATGATTTACATGGGAATGGAATACAACAGAATAATAGTGTCCAGCAGTTGTTATTAATTACAATTTCTTCTGTTTGTTTTTACTTTTACAGGAAATTAAGAGTTCACAGAAAGCTTTAAAGAGGAGTTTTCTGTAAAGGGAATTAACACTTTGGTGTCTTTTTATGAAGAAGACCACCTGAATTGTGTAACATTCCTACAGCCGGGGGACCGGCTTCAGCGTGCAGCACAGGAGGAATTCTTTCCTGCATTACAAATTGGGAAGAAGTGTTAAGAAATGGTCCTCTCTGAGAGGTGTGGATGTATCAGGATGTAGCTGCTGTACAAAGTTTATCCTTGGATAACTCTGGACAGAGATAAACCTCCATTGCTGACCTCCTGAAGAGGCGATCCTTGTTCAGGCCCCAGCATAATGAATAGTTTCCATCACGCGGCGCTCAAGCTCCAACCTCCCAGCTACTGCATCCCACAAAAGAGCTTGTACAAGTTACAAAGAAAGTAATTCTTGTTAAAGGCATTAAACCAAACAAAAGAGGCTCTCCATTCACAGACTTTACACGAGAACAGAAACAGAAGCTGAAGCTTTTCTGCTCCTCGGCCAGTGTGCTTACATACCATGGTGAATCTTTGTTGGGTTGCCCCTGGAGCATAGTGCCTGGGAGCGAGCACCACCAGGAGGGGGTGGCCGACGGAGAAGTCGTCCATGGAGTGAAGTATAAGAGCAAGAGAGGAATTTGTTTGCTGGATATCCTCAAGCACAAAATTTAATCTTACCTTTAAATACGGTAGGATCAATATGAATCTGTTTTCCTTTTCATGCCTTGGAGAATGAAGTTCAGTTAATATATGAACCCACAAGAGAAAGGGTCATGACACTGCTTAATGCATAGGGCATCTTACAGAAGTTTTCACCACCCTAATTACAGTGGTAATTGAATTATGTTGTCTTAAAAGCTATAAAAATGCTAATTACCTGAGTTCAGTGTACAAACACGCTACCAGTGCAAAGTACAATTTCAGTCTCAAGAGTTAGTTTATATTATCCCACCCTGCACAGTATGAACTAATAAGATGTGAAAATGTGGTTAAACCTGCCAAATAGTCTCTTATTAGTGTACTGCTTAGCAAGAAGACTTTTGAGAATGACAAATATTTAAACATGAAATTAAGCATGTAATGAAATATTCCATCCAGCCAACTAGAAAGCCACAGCTCAGACAGCTCTGTTGGCTTGTAAGCTGCACACCAATTGCAATTCACCTTTCTAAACATTCCAGGTTGAAAAACAAGAAGAGTAAGCTGCAGTATTTGTAAAACGCACCATGTGGTGTTAAGTTCCCAGAAAAACCCAAAAAAAATCTGGAGCTGGGCTCTGTTCTCATCTGCATTCTGTACCGTGCCACTAGGACTTTCTTGAACCTCCAGAATAGCTACCACTGAACTTCTGGGTTTGGTAAGGGTTTTATAGTTCACGTAAGGGCGTCTAGGTAGTTAGCTGGCTTAGGAATTACTTCTTATCTTTCAGATATAGAATGATTTACTTGAACTCTGGTTTGACTTCAGCTGTGTACTTATCTGGTATGTGCGAACAAAGATTGCCTCTATATGTGAAATGGGGAGGAATCTTCAGAAGGAGCCTTCTTGGTTAAACTAAACCACTCACAGATCAGACATGCCTGATTATATTATTTTAAGTTACTATTCAGAATAGTCTATTAACTTAACTGAATTAGCAAAAGCAGAAATGTTGTTATTGATGTATGTAGAAAAAGTAGAATGTCTACAGACTTGAATTTTTGTTCTGTATGTCAGATGTCTTCTGTAATGCTGAAGTCAAATTTTCATTGCATTTCATCGCTGATGATCTGGATAATTTTGTTTGTTTGTTTGTTTTTAGATTTTGAAGATCAGAACTCATCATCTCATCATTCCTGACCATGATTACTGTACCCTGGAGCATCTTCCTAATTTGGACTAAAATAGGGCTGTTACTTGACATGGCACCTTATTCTGTCACTGCCAAACCGTGCCCATCAGTATGTCGCTGTGATGTGGGTTTCATATATTGTAATGATCGCGATTTGACATCTATTCCTACAGGAATCCCAGAGGATGCTACTAACCTCTTCCTTCAGAACAATCAAATAAATAATGCTGGGATTCCATCAGAACTGAAGAACTTGCGTAGGGTTGAAAGAATATTTTTATACCACAACAGCCTGGACGAATTCCCCACTAACCTTCCTAAGTACGTCAAAGAACTGCATTTGCAGGAGAATAATATAAGGACCATCACTTATGATTCGCTTTCACAAATTCCTTATCTGGAAGAACTGCATTTGGATGATAATTCTGTTTCCGCTGTTAGCATTGAAGATGGAGCTTTCAGGGACAACATCTATCTCAGACTTCTTTTTCTCTCTCGAAATCACCTTAGCACCATTCCCTGGGGTTTGCCTAAAACAATAGAAGAGCTACGCTTGGATGATAATCGTATTTCCACAATTTCAGAGCTGTCCCTTCAAGACCTTACAAATCTAAAACGCCTTGTTCTAGATGGAAATCTTCTAAATAACCACGGATTAGGAGACAAGGTCTTCATGAATCTAGTCAATCTTACAGAACTGTCATTGGTTCGCAATTCACTTACAGCCGCACCAGTAAATTTGCCAGGAACAAACCTAAGGAAGCTTTATCTTCAAGAAAACCATATCAATCACGTGCCACCCAATGCTTTCTCTTACTTAAGGCAGTTGTATCGACTAGATATGTCCAATAACAATCTCAGCAATTTACCTCAGGGCGTCTTTGATGACCTGGACAACATAACTCAGCTGTTTCTTCGCAACAACCCTTGGCACTGTGGGTGCAAAATGAAGTGGGTCCGTGACTGGTTGCAGTCATTGCCTTTGAAAGTGAACGTACGCGGGCTGATGTGCCAAGCACCAGAAAAAGTGCGCGGAATGGCTATCAAAGACCTCAACGCGGAACTGTTCGACTGTAAGGATGACGTGAGCACCATCCAGATCACCACCGCAGTACCCAACACACTGTACCCAGCCCAGGGACACTGGCCGGTTTCTGTGACCAAACAACCAGACATCAAGACCCCCAACCTAAACAAGAACTACAGAACCACGGCCAGCCCGGTACGCAAGATCATTACAATATTCGTGAAATCAGTGAGCACAGAGACCATCCACATCTCCTGGAAAGTTGCGCTGCCAATGACAGCCTTACGGCTCAGCTGGCTCAAGATGGGCCACAGCCCTGCCTTTGGATCTATAACTGAAACCATCGTGACAGGGGACAGGAGCGACTATCTGCTTACAGCACTCGAACCAGAGTCGCCGTACCGTGTGTGCATGGTCCCCATGGAAACCAGCAACATCTATCTCTCTGACGAGACACCTGAATGCATCGAGACCGAGACAGCTCCCCTCAAGATGTACAACCCGACAACCACACTCAACCGGGAGCAAGAAAAGGAGCCCTACAAGAACTCCAGCGTGCCTCTGGCCGCCATCATTGGTGGCGCGGTGGCACTGGTGGCCCTGGCACTGCTGGCCCTGGTGTGCTGGTATGTCCACAGGAATGGAGCCCTCTTCTCCCGGCACTGCGCCTACAGCAAGGGGCGCAGGAGGAAGGATGACTATGCTGAGGCGGGCACTAAGAAGGACAACTCCATCCTAGAAATCAGGGAGACTTCTTTTCAGATGATACCCATCACCAACGACCAGGTGTCCAAGGAGGAGTTTGTAATACACACCATTTTCCCCCCTAACGGCATGAATCTGTATAAGAACAGCCACAGTGAAAGCAGTAGTAACAGGAGCTACAGAGACAGTGGTATTCCAGATTCAGATCATTCACACTCATGATACTGAAGGACATGAAAGACTGGTTTGCTTTTGGTTGGTTTGTTGTTTGTTTGTTTTTTTTTAAAAAAAAAAAAAGAGAAAAGACTGACTTTTAACGGTTGCTGTTCTACTGCAAAACACTGGATTAAAGACTGACAAAGCAATGTACTGTACATTTGCCATATAATTTATATTTAAGAACTTTTTATTAAAAGTTTCAGATTTCAGGCTACTGCTGCGATTAATGTAGTGGGGATACCTGACCACAATTCTATATTTTAGTATTTTTTAGTAATTTGTACTGTATTTTCCTTGCTAATATTGAAGTTACAGACCATTTAACTTTTGTGTTCTACTGAGTAAGATGACTTGTTGACTGTGAAAGTGAATTTTCTTGCCGTGTTGAGCAGTCAGAACATTCATCTGAGATCCTTGTAAGTGTAAGCACAGGCCATTTTTCACTTTGGTATTAATAAAATAATGTTAAACCTGGCAAATCAGGAAGATCAAGAAGTGGTTGCAAAAACTCACAGAACTTAAATGTTGGGTCTGTTAAATCTGTAAACCACGACAATATTCAATAAACAAAAATGCGTGTAGTAATGGGCAATATCAGCTGTCTGGACACATCCATCCAACAATGGTGAAATCCAATCTAAAAAGAAAATAATCAAATCAATTACATGCATGAGACTTAAACTGTTGGCATGTGTAAAGAAAAAACTGACCCTTGGAAGAAAGCGTAACAAAATTCCTAACAAGGAATTCTAAAGAAATGTGCTAGGCTCCACTAACCAAGGGGTAGACAGGGTGTAACGATGGATTTCTGGTTATCAGCACCAGCGGTCTGTTAGAGAGAAAATGGTGATGGATGGCCACAGACATTTGGAAGGCAGTGGCAGAGGGACAGGGAGAACACTGAGCAACTGTTCTTCAGCAGAAGGGCTGGAAGTACAGTTTGGTAAGGAAAACAAAGCGGACGAAAAGCAGGCAAGCAGTCTCATAAATTTTAGTCACCCAGGTCAAAAGAAAATTGGGGAATGCAGATATTTTAAAGCATATACTTAAACATCCTGTAGGTATGCGTTAACTGTACTGCCATTACAGTCAGGAATACTGCCCATTACTCTCACAGTTTTCCAGAAATTCCTTGCTAAATCTGTAAAGTAACGTTTCTTTCTGCCTTCCTGCTGGACTATATGCTATTTCATGTTTAAACCCCAAGCCACACTTTGTTGCCATAATCATTTGTCTTTTCAACTAAAAACCAAAGTGCATTGTACGCCCTTTGGCCGGTCTTGTATGTGCCTTGATCCAACGCTACATGTATCAAGTTTTTTAAAACAAAACAAAAAACCCTAAAAAAAAATAAAATACCCACTTTTTCGTACATGACTTAAATATGACAAACACTGGTCTCATTGGTGAATAAAGTTGAAAAATCAGTAGAGTAATGCCACGTATCTGAGGTGCACTGACAGGAAAGCCACTCAGAAGCTACTATTTTTCAGGTCCTAAGTTCCATCTTTTACTTTGTTCAATATGGTATCACACTTCCTGGGTTTCTGTATTGTTAATTACTTTAATAGCGAGTTTTAACAGCTTCCAATTGTATCAGTAATGAAAGGAAGGGAAATTACAGTTACAGCTCTCTCAGACCTTTTTCAACAAAACCGCCAATTAAAAGGTAGAGGGACATACAAATGCTTAATATTTTGGATGTTATTTTGGACAGGAAAGAATGTATACCAAATGCAGTTCAATCTTGAGAGTATTTTAGCAGTGCTCAGCCTCTCTGTTTCTCCAGTAGTAAGGGGTGGAAGATGACAGGACGAACTACAGGAGATGCCAATACTGATGGTTTCAGCAGTCACTCAACAAATGACTCCTGCCAGAGGTCCATCTGCCTGCACAGACACCAAGTTGCCAGTAACAGACAGTGCATTTCAGCTTCATTTACCAGATGTGGCCAGAGAAGTTCCTCTCCAAACACTCCATGCCACGGTTTCCAGTTTTTGAGAAGTGGAGGAGCAGCTCTGCGCTTCACCACTGACCTCTCGCAGTCCCACCTGTGCTTCATGTGGAACACGGGCTGGATCCACAGTGCCAATGCACTGGGGACACGATGCTGAACAGCTCTGTGCTGCTCTGGGAGATGCACTCAGCAGGACTATTCTGCTCTACTTTCTCATCAGGTACAAATCTGAAGGGAGAGAAAGCCAAGACAAGCATGTGGAGACTCATTTCATTCTGGAAGACCAATCCAGACAGAGAAGACTGACCTGCTTTTCTTCATGCAAACTAGCATACTGGGACCCTTATACCTGAAATACATTTAATGGCTGGCTCGCTGGCAACAGATTACTAGTTCTTTGCCATCAGCACTCCAATAGCAAAATCAAAAAGGTTTTGCTGCATTTTCAAGCTGTTGATATGAAAACCTCTCTTGTAGCTGACTCAAAACTTGTACTTTGGAAAGGATAAAAGAAAACCCCATGAATACTTTTCCTGTGTTTCTCCTGGGGTCAGCCAGAGGCAGCTTAATAACACTGCACACCATCTACCTGCATTTCTGAGATGATTCTACACAGACATCCTGTGGGCTAGCAGAAGTCATCATTTGAGGAGATAGTTGCATGTCAGTCTAAATTACAAGGACTTCTCTTATAAAATGTACGTAATACGAGACAGTAATATGCAAATCCAAAGCAACTTCAACAAGCTGGCCCTGTTGTTCCAGGTTTACCTCCACCAGGAAGCAGATGAGAACCTGGAGCAATGGTGCCAGGCTCTATGGAAAAGCAGACCAGGTTTGCAGGCAGAGCTGGTGTCCTACAGCAGCTGCTGTCAATGGAAAAAACATCGCACATCTACGCATACAAGATCTTCAAGGTCTATACCAACTTTTAGACAACACGCATAATATGAAGCTGTGTTAATTTGGCAAGTGAAAGATTAATTTCAAACTGAAGTCTGTATTTTTTTCTTTTGATATTGACAAAAATTTCTGCTGCTTGTCATGGCCATCTCTCAAGAATCTTCTACTTAACCTAACAGTCCAGTTACAGCATGCAGTACACTCTAGCACCAGTACATCCATCCATTCATCCATTCCATTAGACAGCTGTATATTCAGACAAGTCCCATTACTTCATTCAGCAGTATACTCATTTATCAAAATAAAATTAATCCACATTGAGTTTATCTCAACTTTTAAAATCCACGTTATTTCAGTGTGCTGTTAAATATCTAATTTCAGAGCAAGGAGTGAAATGTTTTTCAACACAGCCTACACCCCTGTTCGAAGTTAACTTAATCAGCATCTTCTGTGTTAATTTAAGCCCAGTATCTTTCACATTCCTTATTACTGCTCCCTTTCTTGATTTATACTATTCACAGTTCTGTTTATTCTGAATGCTGACACCAAAAAAAAACCCCAGGTACTTTGGAAGCCATATTCATTTTGTCTCATCTCAGTAAGTTCCAAACTACATTTGCTTCACTTTTAAGCTATTACTTCCTAACTCTGTACAACAGCCTGAAACGCAACAACTGTTGGGATCTGGGGTTGTGTTTTTGTTTTTTTCCTGGCTTTAACAGTAGCACAATCAAAGCAATATGGCTTTGGAACACCGTTACCAATTCTGCTAATGCTTTAGCTAGCTTGCAAGCTATATTGTGCCAATGCTGTACATACTGTGTAGAGCAGCAAATGCAATAAAGCAAGAATGAAAGTAATACAAAGCCTTATTTACTATTCAAATAACTCACTGATGATATAACGCAATGAGCACATATACAGACTTCTGTCTTAAATAAGAGGGTGTCCTTTTGTGTGTTCCTCCACAGCTGCAGTTGGACACAATCTTCGATCACAGACTGGCAAATGCCTCTATTTCTCCAAACCAGATTACTTTTGGTTTTGGATGGAGCCATCACTCACTTGGATGTCCTCTGCTTTCCAAACAGCTTAACCTTACTTTCAAACCCACAGAGGCACGTTCAGCACACAGTGCTTCAGGATCACCTTGGGAATGAGCTTTGTTTAATTAACTGTTTCCTAAGTGTCACCACAACAACAAGCTTCAAGCCACAAGCCAGTGCTTACAACTGCAATTTTTACAAAGCGTCTACTGACTCCATATCTGGGGAGTTTCTTCCATCCAGAAGTGGTTCATCAGAAAGAAAGATGACTGACTGAAACCAGACAGGAAAATTTTATGCTTTGAAGTCTATTTTGTCTTTGTAAATGAATTTAATTTGGGGGATGCTGAAGGAGCTTTCCTCTAACAATCAAATTAGAGCTGTTTCAAGCCCTCTGAAGATATAACTGTGTATCAGTCTGGACACATAATCTTTTTTGGTGAACATGTACACTGGATTTATTCTCAACAGTAAATCACCAGATTGTTTCCTGATCCTTGTAAAAATGTAGACAAAAACAAAATATATCTCAGTAAAACAGCTGCACAGCACCTAGTTCAAAGCAACGTTTACCAGCATCCATTGGGATGCTCGTTTTCCTGCAGCTTTAATGATTGCTGGGGAACATTCATACCCAGTGTGGCAACCAAAGCACTTCAACAATACGGATGTTAGGCCAAATAACTGTCCTCTAGCAGCTCCTAGGATTGTCAGGGGTCCAAGGTGCAAGCAGCCAGCAACTCCATTCCCCTTCCAAGGAGGGGATGGCAACGGCCAGCAGCTGACTATCAGTGCAGCGCTGCAGCATCCTACCGTTCCACACACATCTCTAAGCAAAGGTTTGTCACAAGTACCTCTGAGGCCCAAAGAACAGGATTTTAGGACCAGTGTGTATCAGCAGACTTCCATCACTTGTTGCTGCCTCTGCTTTTTCTTAGGATGAAAACGCAATGGAGTCATGGTATAAAACCTCCCAAGACTGCTAACACCACCAAGAGCTGAAAACACTTTTTGAAACCTGAATCCGGACCTTTCAGCTTAGCAAGAACACTCATAAATAAGTTATAAAAATAGAAGTGTCTTAATAGGGCTAATTAAATAATCTGACTTGTTGAAGTGGGCTGATAGCATCCATAGAGGCTGATGCTGTGTCCTGAGCAGCCCTCTTAAGTCCCCAAACCAAGGAGCAGGTCAGAGCCCAGTGCTCACCCCTGCGGGACTTAAGCAGAGCCTATCTATAGCCACAGCTACGGAGGGTCTGCTGTTCAAACCAAGGGGCTGCCCCTTGGTCTTACATCAGTAAGTACAGAAGCATCGTTTACAGGATTAAATTATGCATGCATTATGCATAACTGAACCTTTTCATTTAAACTAAATATTATCAAAGATCTATAAGGTCAGAAATACGCACCCTATTCACGTAATACCCTTTCCTCTGTTGGGCTTTGTCTCTGATAAATGCCCACCTGGCAATTAGACTTCCATGTGAAAGCAGGTGTTTGCTGGGGGGTGGGGATTCCTTCTGTTTAGAAGTGTTTTTTTAATGGGTTTTTATTGTTTTGTTTTGGTTGACTTGATTTTCTTGACTGGCATAAATAATCTCACTCTCAGTCTTTCGGTTTAATTGGACATCAAAGTGAACTGTCTGACAATTTCAATTTAACACTTACAGCACATCAGTGCACGTGTACTTGGGGTGGTGAGCAAAGGTAAAATAGCATCCCACAAACTTCAGTTTCCCAGCTCTTATAGCAATGCTTTTCAGGCTTTAAACTGTTGTTTTTCCACAGATTCAATAGGAAAGCAATCAAATAACATTTCAAAAAGTGAAACCTTCTGCTCAGGAATGCAGCTGCTGGGACAAGGAAGAGGATTTAGGAAGCCACTTTGTAACTCTTACTCCATTGGTACATGCAGCACCTTCTTCTCTTCATCTCCTTTAGACAGCCTGTAGTACACGCTCATCCCTCATGTTAATTAACAACAGAAGTTATTTGCCCTGGACTCCTCCAGTACGAAGTCAACTCCAAACTGTGTATTTTGTTTCCTGAAGTTTGAACAGCGCACAGCAGTGCAGACACCTGCAGAATCTCCATTCGGTTGCGGTTTGTTTACCTGGTTTCAATGATCTTCACAAATAAGCACTGAGGACGCTTATTTCTGAAACCTGATGGGTACTTGACTGCCCATAGGGAACAGGAGCTCATTAACAGAGAGAAAGCCAAATCCTGGGTAAGTGCTAACCCTGTGAGTAAACACAATTTTAGGGCATTAGCCGATCACGCTGAGCCTCTGTGCCTAATGTCTGAAAAGCATTAATTTTATTGTGGCAGCACCTTAATGGACGCTACCAATCCTGCCCACTAATAACCTTTTCATTTCCCCCGATGTGGTAACAGCAGACAGCAGTAACGATCTACAGGCCAGGACACAAAGAACCTGTATTCCCTGGTCCTGCTCAGCTCCCCAAGCTATCTACTGAGTGGGGTTTGGCTACAAGGGAGTTCAAGCTGGTACCTCGATGGGTCAGGAAGGTGCAGCGTCACCAAGGCTGTAACAGCATCTAAGATTTTCTTCCTTTATATTTATCTTTTCTTTCTTAACCCTTTCTTTTTAAACTAGGCTCATTAAGAGAATTTGCTCAATAAACACAACCATTCAATTTGCATATAAAAACCTCCTCGCTGCTAATTGCACTTGTTCATATACAGTGGAACGAACAGGTGAAAATCTCCTTTAAGAGTTTGCTGTTCAAGCCAAGGAAAGCACATCCCAACATATTAACCATGGAAATCACCAGCTGTTACTTGAGCTTACAACTACATGATGCTGAGAAGAAAAAAACAATGATAAAAATCAGATATTCCTAAGAAGCCACTCACAACGCTGCCTCTAAGAATTCTTAGGCAGAGGGTTAAGATCACAAAGTAGTATTTCTACTTCTCAGAACCAAACAACACCAAAAATATGAGCAGCCACTTGGTTGCTGAAGGCTTATCTACATGGTAAGCCCTCAGATCTTTCATGGCTGTCTGGCCAGAGGACCCAGCAGGTGCTAAGACTGAGCTGCTCCCCACATCCCTCAGCACAGACCAAGGCACTGAGAGGAGCACACTGCATCCTCCAACAGAACTACCAACAGCAACTCTCCCAAGCCATGAGATCTATCACTTCTTTATGCTAGGCCTTAAATAATGCCCCCAACACAAGTGGCACAGCATTCAACTATGGATGTTGTGAAGTAATGCCCAGCTTCAGCTGCACAAAAAAGGTTAACCTTTAGGATGTTTGAATTCATACCCAATCCTAGCAATCACACACACGTTTTCTTGAAGGCCTTTGCTTCCTCCAGGCCTCCTGATAGATTCTAATACGCATTCTACATAGAAGTAAAGAACTGTCTGAACAGCACAGTTTGTCAACATCTCCCTGTGTATCAACCGACTTTTTTTTAAGAAGCACTTGTATCTTTTCAGTCATTAAGTATTAAAACAAAAAAAAATGGTTTGCCAATTTAGCTTTTAGGATGCTACTGAGAGGAGGAAAGGGAAAGGAAGGAGATCCATTAAACTAAGATGCTAATCAGGGAAAAAATCATGCTACAGTAAATTGCAGGTAGGAACTTGATTTTCTCATGGAAAAAAACAAACAAACAAACAAACAAACACAACACCAAAAAAAAAAAAAAAAAAAAAGCCTCATGAATCCAGCTATATTGACAAAAGGCCCCATGCAAGAATACCTCTGGCTCCCCAAAGCACCTGCAGCTTCTGGAAGGGAGCTGGTAGGAGGACCATGTTCTGCATCCCACTGAGGAGCATCCCACTGCTTTGGGAAGCACAGGTTTGCTTAACACATGATGCAGCACGGAGCTGGTGGCCCTGCAAGGTGAGAAACCCATCTCCTTGTTCCACAGACTCCCCAAAAAACCCATGCTCCACAAAATCCTCCAAAGGAATCTATCAAAGTGACTTCAACCCCATGATTCGGTACAAAATCAAAGGATGCAAGCTGCTCTAATCTAAGGATCTAAGCTGCATCTAAGGATGCAGCCAACACTGTCTTCACTGAATGGGAGCTGCCCCAATCTGCACATTTTTGACAGGGAACTGATCGTTTGTTTTGTTTTGTTTTTCTCCTTCATGCTGTTCTCTGTCACATTAAATACTGCTGGGTTTTAAATTAAAAAAAAACAAAAAAAAAAAAACAAAAAAACATTTACCTATTGTTGCTTCTCCTCATGCTACTGAAGACTAACTTTATCCTTTTATATAATATCCCCAAACCAATTTAAACAGATTCAGCACTTCAAAAGGCTTCAAGTGAAGCATCCATCCAGAAAAACCTGGTCTGGATAATACATCTGCAGCAACTAGCTGATGCAACATTTCAGTGGAAAATAAGAGATGATGAACAAAACGTTTGCCATCAGCATGGGAACACAGGAGCAGCCAGTGTCTCCGTAACTCAGGTCCCTTGGCACAAGGGGATACAGGGGCAGGGCTTGAGCCCTCTCCAGGCAGCTCAAGGTGCTGTGCACAGCCACTATGGCACATAAAGATGCTCCATGCCACCTGCCAGTAGCAGCTTCCTTGCTCACACCGTGGCCAGGCTGCTTCCTGAGCTCCATCGCTGCCTCTCACTCCCCTGTCTGCATTCCTGAAGGGATGAGAATGGCCATGCCAGGCACCGCTGGGAACTGGAGTCCCACCACAGCATTTGTTGGCACGTTTGGCAGCCCGCTAACTTGCCTGTAGGGATGGGGAAGCACATCCCCACCAGGAGTGCAGCCCCTGCAAGCCCTGGCCAGTGGA